TATCTTTGTAAAAAATTATATTATTAAATCAAATATAAATTACTTTTTTTATTGAACCTAAATTAAATTATAATAAAAAAATTGAATTAAAAAATTACACAAAAAATTAGAAATTTTAAATAGTTAATCTATACTATATTATAAAGCATTTGGCTAAAACTTTTAAAAACTCTTAAAACTCTTAAAAACTCTTAAACTCGTTCATCCCTAAACGATTTTATCCCTATCCGATTTCATCCCATATCTAAATTCGTGAAACTAACTGCAGATAATCATAATCAAATATAAGATAAACATCTCATTTTAAATATAAAAAATCTAAAATATAATTAGTATAATCATTAAATTCTAACAGAATACTTAATTATTATTTTTATAAAATTTATAATATTAAACCAAAAATGAATTGTTTCATTATTAAACTTAAATTAAATTATATATATAAAAAATATTCTATATTATAAATCATTTGATAAAAGCTCTTAAAAACAACTTTTTATGCGTAAAGTACATTTTATTAATACATATCTATACTATATTATAAAGCATTTGGCTAAAACTCTTAAAAACTCTTAAAAACTCTTAAACCCTTTCATCCCAAAACGATTTCATCCCTATCCGATTTCATCCCATATCTAAATTCGTGAAACTAACTGCAGATAAACACAATCAAATACAGGATAAACATCTCATTTTAAATATACAAAATCTAAAATATAATTAGTATAATCATTAAATTCTAACAGAATACTTAATTATTATCTTTATAAAATTTATAATATTAAACCAAAAATAAATTCTAACAAAATACTTAATTATTATCTTTATAAAATTTATAATATTAAACCAAAAATAAATAGTTTCATTATTAAACTTAAATTAAATTATATATAAAAAAATATTGTATATTATAAATCATTTGACAAAAACTTTTAAAAATAACTTTTTATGCGTAAAGTACTTTTTATTAATACATATTATTTAAAACTTAAGATTACAAGTAGATTGTGCGTAAGTACAATTTATTAAAGCTTCATATTCGAATTTATGCAATTAATTGCAGATAAACATAATCAAATGCAAGATAAACATCTTATTTTAAATATAAAAAATCTAAAATATAATTAGGATAATTATTGAGTTCTAACAGAATAATTAATTATTATCTTTATAAAATGTTATATTATTAAACCAAAAATAAATTATTTC